AGTGTCTTTTTAACAATATGGTTATCCACTTACTTCATGTATCCTTCCAAGAACTGTGACAAAATAAAAAATACTGTTTACCAATATGATACCTATGGTATCCAATTATGAAAAAGTGTTTTGAGTTATGTTTGTATGTGTGTGAATGAGATAATGAGATACACAGAGAACTATCTGTTCTAATAATCTTATTTACTTTGGTAGCCAGTTATAGGAATACATGTATTTATTTACTCATACCCAGCTAAGTATATAGCATTTTTAGATTATCTTTTCAAGTTGTTCTTGAACATTCCAGTTTTTAAAAAATCTCCTTTCATGTTAAGTTGCGATTGCACTTGAACCCCTTCCAAAAGCCAGAGCTGTACTGAATTATGATAATTAGAAAGCTGTGCGCATAAAAGGCAGCACAGTTGATGCATTTAAAAAAGTTCATGCCAGAGAATATAAGTTCAATATGTTCTCACATAATTAACATTTCCCATCATTAGCAGCAGTTTTCAGTTTATGTATCTGTAAAAACAACAGCATTCGTCATTGTTTTAGATTCTCGGTCAATAGCATTTTAATCATTTTACACAAGATCCTGAACTCCCCCCCCCCACCAAAATACACTGAGGTTCCAAATTCTATCTTTTGAAACCAGATATGTGCTAGCAAACAAACTTTCATTTTGTGTTTATATGCTTCTGCTACAACATACAGAACACCTCAGACTAAAAATGTCTAATGAAGACCTAATAAGAGCTAGAAATCTAAGAAAGCCACTTGGACCCATACTACAGGATGTAGAAGTGATAATCACATTGCTCCAGTAAACGAAGACTAAAATACAAAGAACAAGAAGTTGTAGACCTTTTATTGGACTAGCTCCGAAATAAAATGGGAACCTTCATATAATTTGGAGGGGCAGAGAAGGAAGATCTGCATCTCCGCAATGATTATGGAAGTTTCCCTGAACATTTCAAACTTTAAATGGATTTTCATATTGTTCTTGATGAGTCTACAAAAATGCAGGCAACAAATAAATGCATATAATACAAGATTAGTGGTTCAGTGTCTGTGGAGCATACATACTCTCCCTGTGTAAGATATCTAGTCAAATAAGTTTTTATGGATCAGACTGTGGCAAAGGCTTGTAAACAAACAGACAGTTCTGCTTCACAAAGATGACATGGTGGCCTTTTGTCTTTGACAATATATGTTTTTTAAAGTTGCCTAACCTGTTTTACACAAAAGGTGAAATCCTGGCTCTACTGAAGTCAGTGGCAAAACTCCCATTTGACTTCAGTGGGATCAGGCTTTCACACAAAGAATTAAATCAGCAGAGTTCTGTCTGTACTTCTAAGTGATTAATTTTGGTGTTGGAATTTGGAACTGGTGTTTCAGTGCACTGAAGTAGGCGCTTTTTATGTTTTGGAAATGAGCAATCATAAAATCCAAACACAAAATTATTCAAGGAAATAATATTCCATCCTCGTTCCACATACAGAAGTCAAAGGGAGTTTTGTGCAAAAACTGAAGTAAGGGATAAAGCCCTAAGTGGGCCATTTATTACAGATTTTTTTACTTTGCAAAACATGTCATTAGTTGTGGCCTAGAATCAGTTGGCTTTACAAGAAATACTGTAATTGATTCATTCAGGTGGCACAGGCTATCATTTAAATAGTACAGTATTTGTGTAGGCTGCAACAGAACCTCTAATAGCACTCTGCATCTTCCTCTTAGCCAGCTGATTGACTTCTCAAGTCTGGCACTCGACTAAAAGTTTTTCAAGCATAACTAAACTCAAATAGTAAATGATTGTAGTTTAGCAATATACAACCTTCATACTCAAGGCAACTAATAATAATTTCCTTGCAAATTACTGCAAAGTGACAAAATGGCAGTTAAATCCCAAACCCTGTATATTTAGATCCACAAATGAGTTATTATTTACTCATATAAATAAAGGCCCTTTGCAAGGTTGGTGCTTTCAGTGTTATGTTTGGAGGGCCAAACCATACTTTCAATTACATGAGTGTAACCTATATACATCTAATGAAGTTGATGGAGTTACCGTGAATTTACGTCACTGTAAAAAAGTCAAACTTTGCCTAGAATCTGCATTTGCTGTCAGAACTGATTTGACTAACTGTGACTAGAAATGCATCCTGCACATTTTATAACTAGGTTATGAGATGAGGGTATCACACTTAAGTCACTGCTAATTAATAAAGATGTAAAAACATAATTATTACTTTTCGATTTTCCATTTAGACATCAAATATCATACTACACCAATGTACATAAAGCATATGCTGTAAATATCTTAGCATTTGATACTCATGTGAGTCATCCCATTGACTTTAACATGAGGGCCTGATTGTACAAATCTTTAAATTCTAAAATAATAGAATAGCTTTCAAAAGATAATGTCTGTGTTCTACCATCTTATATATAATATTAGACATAAAATAACCATGTCAAGAAGAGGGCTGGATTAAAAAATGGTGTGTGTGTATATATATATATATATATATATATGCGTGTGTGTATCAAAAAAGGTACATTCAATTATAATTTTTGAAGGACACAAATTTTAAGAACAGGAGTACTTGTGGTACTCCTGTTCTTTTTGCGGATACAGACTAACACGGCTGCTACTCTGAAACAAATTTTAAGGCAACACTCTCTCCATAAACAAATACACTGAAAACTGCATAAAGAAAGTTAATATTTTTGAAATAATCCCATGTAATAAAAAAAAGTTATTTCTACTGAAACTACTTTCAGTCATCTTGACATTTGGGTTTATTAATGACAATTATACTATATTACAAAAAGTTATTTTTAACCTTCATCTTTTCATTAAGTGAAAGATGTCTCTCTTACACTTGTGCTTCTCTGAAGCATTAAGGGTCTATAATAAACTATTTTTAATGTACTGAGTCTTGAGGGACACTTTACAGTTTTGCTATAATCATTGCTTTAAAAAAGAAATCTAGGGTTCTTTCTTCCTCCAAGTATGACTTAATTGAGTTTGACTTTCTTCAGTCAAAGACCACCAAAGCCTATGAACCACTCTAATACCATCCAAAACCAGTACACTGTCCTGGCACAGAGAGAGAGAGAGAGAGAGAGAGAGAGAAACAAGTTGCAAATTATACCATGCATGTTGCACACAAACACACACCACAATACAAACAATCTCAACTGGAAATTCACTGAGGGCCCAGTTCCCACTTATGTTTAGATTGTTCCTTTCCACTCTAAATTAAACTTCTTGCTGTCCTTACTAATGCTCACATGAAATCAAAATTTCTCTCTACTTTACTCCTTGTGCACATTCTATTTTAGCCACATTCTGCGCTCTGACAGAGAAAGAAGTGTGCATAATGATGTCAAGCCATATTCCAAATCTGAAGTGATGTTGTGGTTTGCTTTTTGTAGTGTGAAAATATAACTATTTCAGCTAAATAGACCATTTGAAATTGTAGTTCAAAATGTATTTTGTGTGCATTTAATAATAAAGTACTATTATAAAGAAAAACTATGAAGTACAACTTACAATCAAAATATCTTTGTTTGATCGGCTGATATAAACCAGCATCAGATAAAACACATAACTTCCCCTAATGCATTAAAAAAATACATTAGGACCTCATTCAAAATCAGTACAGTAGGTAAATATACATTTAATGAGCAATAATGAAAAATAAACATATCTGATAAAAATTTTGGAAGCTTAAACATAATTCTTTCAAAAAGGAAACATTCTTTAAGTCGTTATCAATTAAAAATGTGCCCCCCATAAACAAAATCTCTAATTTCACTTTTCAAAGAATGTTTACTGGATTAATAATTCTGGCATTTCTATTTGAAATCCATATATATCATCCTCAAAAATAACGTAATTTAATCCTGGTCTCTGTATCATTTTAAATAGTTTTAGTGTGTACCACCAGCACAGTCTAATGCTCCTGTAATGGTATTCCCCAACTATTTATAGAGATGGCAATATACTATATACTACAGGCAGGCATTCCAAATTTAGGATTATATAAAAAATCCTGGATTTGGGATTAAATCCCAAAGCAATTATAATCACTAACTGTGTTATATTGCATTGTATATAATACTCCAGGCTGTTTAGCTGAATTTTTCCAAAAGATGCATTCAAGTTCATAGATTTACATACAAGATGGACTGCGTAATATCAGAACTTTCAGTTAAAGAACAGTGTTTTAAAATTATATAGCTGCTATCTGTGACAATCCAGATACAGAAAGCATGTATCACTATAAAAGCTACTAATAAGCAACACTGTTTCCAAACTTTATCAATATAGGGGGAAAGGTATTTATTCTTCCTAGACAGGAATACAGCTGTATAGCTACTTTTTTCAGGTGCTGTACCATCTCAGCTTGGATTTCATATCTATAACATTTTACATCACTAAAAGTCAGTGACTTCTGACATGCTTCCTGGCTCTTACTTTGTTAGATGGTGTTCTGTAAGAAAGTTTTAAAAATTGGGAACCATTTTATATTTAAAAAATGTAAAGCACAACTGCTCCCTAATATTCCAGCACTTATTGAGGTCACTTTTCAGTTCTTCAAATCAAAGGCAGGCACTTGTTTCTAATAAGTTAACAACTCTCCTGAGAAACAGGGGTGGCTGGTATTTCATTGTTTCATAAATATTTTTATACAGTAACTCCATTCAATTTAAAACAGATTTCAAGAGAGGATGGGGGGGAATCATGAATGGGATTAACAGAGGTAGAAGCTTTAACTTTTCTAATGGATGAAAACAGATCTCTCTCATTTTTGTTTTGTTTTGTTTTAATTTTGTTACAAAGGTTGTAATATAACTTTCCCCCTCCCCCTTAAAAGTGTATTTCCTTTGCAAATTTTACTTCTGTAAACAAAGGCTGCCTTTGGATCAGCACCGTGGGCATCTGTAGAACAGATCTCTTTAAAAGGTTAAGGATAAATAAATAACCCTATGGTTCCTACCGAAAGGAAGTTTTCCAGGGACAATCTCTTCGGTTTTGTTGTAACTGCGACTTTGTCTTTTTTGGATACAATATTTCTGCTGACTCCCGAAAATTTTCCACTTGAATGTGCAATTAACCAGCAGCAGCAGCAGCTCTGGAGAAGGGGAAGAAGCAGCAAAAAAGAACATTCCTTCTTTCATCTTTTAGAGGAAAAGAAAAGGGGGGAAGGAAAACAAAACTCGAGGCACTAAACCCAAGAGCTCTCTCGATTCAGAGCGAGTCACTTTTGCAGAGCACAACGCTGGGAGAGTTTGGATTATTATGAGGATTTTATTTTGCAAGCCCCGGGCCGCTCCTAACTTCTTCCTTCTTCATGAAAAATGTGAAAAATGTCAAAGATTTGTGTGTGTGTGTGTGTGTGTGAGTGAGTGTGAGTGTGTGAGCGAGCGCCAGGCTGCAAAGCAGTGACTCAGGCAACTAAGTGAAAGCAGCAGCAAGGAGCAGAGGGAGAGAGAGAGAGAGAGAGAGAGAGAGAGGAACAGGAGCAGAGGAGCAGCCGCCTGTTGCAGCTCTGGCTACAACCCCAAAGCAGCAAAAACTCCATTGGAAACAACTTCTCCCCCCCCCCCCAAGTCCCTTTCCTTACCCTCCTCCCCAGATCACCTGCAGGGATTGGAGGTGGGGGTTAGGAGGAGAAAGAGGGGGGCCATAGCTGCCTATGTAGCTCTCCAAGCAAATAAAAGAGGAGACCCCCCCCTCCCAGCCACACAAAGCAAAGGGAGAGAGATGAGCATAGCAGCAGCTCCCTCCGAGCAGCAGCGACCACATACTCGCACATACACACACAAAACTTACCTCCACTCCACTCCCCACCTTTGCAACCACCACCAGCTCTTTGCAATGCAATTGCAAACTTCTTCCAGCTCCCCCTGGGCTTGGGTTGCTATTTATAGCCCCGTGTTTATTTTTAATCTGCAGTTTCTCTATTTATATCTAGGCTATAGCTGGCTGTTTGCAGGATTATTGAATCCCTTCAAGTGATTAGTTACTGCCCAAGCCGGTGGTGGGGCGGGTTGGGCTTTCGAATGGGCTTGTGCGGCGCGAGCGATGCTAAGAATGTTCGGAATGAGAGAGGAATGAAATGAACGCGAGGAGCGGACTCGCTACAGGGAGGTGGAGTCTGGGCCCGCATCATGCAGGGGATGCAGGGGGGAGGAGCCAGGGAGCAGCTGGTGACCTCATAGGAAAGTCCAGGAGGGGAGGGGGGTTAAGGAGGGAGGAGCCATGGGGAGGGGAGAGATCACATGGGGAGGGGACTGATGGAGAGTCACAGGAAAAACCACCTGAGCAGTAGCAGTAGCCGCCTGAGTAGCAGACACTCTGCAATGGGATATCGCACACATGCCAAGGCATTTGCAGCCATCCTCAGAAGCTCGGGGCTATGCACTGAGCAGCACAGAGTTGGAGCTGGTTTGCAGTGCGGAGGACTGCTCCTAAAAGGGGGTCATTGCAGCCTGGATTGGCTTTGTTCTAGCTGGGAGAGTCCAGGCACTTTGAGTTTTAAGAAGAGTCCCTGCAAACTTTCTCTGGTTTAAAAAGAAGAACAGGAGGACTTGTGGCACCTTAGAGACTAAGGTGCCACAAGTCCTCCTGTTCTTCTTTTTGTGGATACAGACTAACACGGCTGCTACTCTGAAACCTTTCTCTGGTTTGTTTGTGCACGGTTGCATCCCCTCAGTTTTGCTTACAACAGAGATCAGATAGATACCAAGTGAAATCAGAACCTGAAAAAGTTTGCAGAAAGATCCCTTAACCTGAAAAAGTTTGCAGAAAGATCCCTTTCAAATCGAACCAAACTGAATGAATTCAAAGTTACAGGGCAAAACTCAGCCCACCGTTTTGGGCATTGCCAGAGTTTAGGGGCAAAATCAATGATTTTTTTTTCTTTTTTCAGACTTTGTCTGAAATAATAAAATTGTCCCAGTTTCTGGTTTCATTACAGAAGTTTTGCACATCTTTAGTTTTGAGGCCAAATGCTATGTCTGTGTCTTTATCTTTCTCCTATTAATGTAATCAATTCCTCCGAAATACATTCCCTGGAGCATTATTAGAATAAATATCTTTCTTCGTTAACAATTTGAGTTCCTTATGGAAATAGTTGCTGAGTGCAGGCAAAGCTGTTGTGCTTGTGAAAATTTGTATATGCATAAATAAAATGGGTAACGGGATGCATCAGTGACTATTTGTGAATGAAATTGCTTCTTTTACATGTGCAAATACCATGTATAGCCACCTTTGAAAGTGCCCAGCAGGGCTGCTACTTTTTGAGAATAACCAAGATGAGTAAGAAAAATTGCATTAGGACATCAGAAACATTGCAATGTGGCATCATTGTGCAGCACCAACATGTTCACATCACCATACACCATCCTGGTGTGCTGGTCTGCTGGTGGGAGGAGTTCACTGTCTAAATTCCATCTGTTATATTTTAACAATCTGTATGCAGCTGCCCTGTAAAATTCAGAATGTATGACAAGTTGTTTCTCTCTATATACACACACTGTGTCTTTTTTTCCCTTTAAATCATTCTATATTCCTAATAATGACACTCCAAGAGAGCCAGGCTGTTGTGACAGGCACTGTTTTAGCCACCATTCACTCATGACTGAACCAGGGACTTCCAGAGCTAAAAGCATGAGGCACTATCGCTTGACCTGAAGAGCCAGGCTCTCAGGGCGAGAGCTGTAGCTGGTTCACATCCTCTGTAGATCAGGCACAAAGGGGATGCAGAACAGCTATTGACATGTGGGTTACATTGGCAATACCAGCTCTAACCTATTAGAACTCCACCACATGGAAAATCAGTCTTGTAACTAATAGCAAGATCCCAAGCAGAGCTGGTTGGACATTTCTGAACTTTTCGAGATATTGGCAAAAAATGGGGAGGGGGAGGAAATTGCACAATTGGGGCGGGGGTTCTATTTTTAACTAACTCCACAGACGGCTGGAAAATTTCACTTAAAAAAAAATTATGTTGAAGTTTTCCTTTCCCCCCATTTTCAATCAGTTCTACCATCAAGTTACTTGGCTGGTTAGGCCCAGATCCACAAAGGTAGTTAGGCACTTAACTTTTATTGATTTCAATGGAAGTTAGGAGCCTAAATACCTTTGTGCATCAGAGCCTTAGTACCTATGCAAATTTAATGATTCATAAGTACAGTGTGACTAAGCTAAAAGCCTCTGCCCAGGCCCTAAGTTTATTTTACTAGCTGTGTCCTGAAGCCTGAGTTAGTCAGAGTGGAGTAATAACTCCTAACATAGATATGAAAATGTGCTACCCTTTCTCCCCTAACAAACCTGACTCATGAGTTGTTTACTGAATGATACCTGGTTATAGAAATTACCTCAAACCAGAGATGAAACAATTGCTTCCTCCATGTCCACTGGATTTCCAAGGTTACTTCTCAGAAATATGGCATCAGTTCAGTGAGGTGTGACATTTTTCTCATATCGTGGGGCTTACAGATAAAACTCCTAAAGTACTGCTCATGGTGCTTCTCCATGTGCAAGGCCCCAGAAGAGCATTGCAAGTACATACGGAAGGGAGATGGAGAGGATTTGGATCATGGATTATCAGAGCTTGAAAACTCTACGCACCTATAGAAACTCTCCTGGGTGAGCGCAATCAGCTTCTGCAGCATCTAAGTTCTGATCAGGGGTGGGTACGAGGCAGGGGGGTAGTTTCTTACCCTTATGGTTGTGGAGATAACTACCAAATATAGAGCAATTCACTGTCATTTGCCTGAGCCTGCAGACAGACCACCCCAAAGCCTCAGCTGCCATTCAGAGCCTTCTCAAGCAGCAGTAGGATAAAACTGACCTCATCATTCCTGTCAATAGATGCAGTGAAAGCTGGCAGGATGCTGGTTAACTTTCAACCTTCTTCAACTTGGCACTGGAGTTCTTCACAGGAAAAGAGGGCTCTAAAAATCAGAGACTAGGGAAAGTCTAGAGATCCTACCATCCCTACCCCACTCTAGCAGTAGCCAGGAGGCTGTAGACGATAATGGGATGACCAGAGAGAAAGAGAGAGAGAGAGAGAGGATGCTTCTTACCAAAAGCCTCATACATCTGAGGTAGAGCGAGCTTGATGTTTGACACTTACCAGATAACGACCGATATGGTCTATGGACTCACTTCCAAAAAGCATACATCCCAGGTCCTGAAGTCCCAGTAGAGTTGGGGTAACCAGATTTTTCAGAGTAAAAAAATTAGGATACTTGTCCTTTGTGGGGTTGGGTAGGGTCAGGAATGTGTTCACAGTAGGGTTTTGTCAGCCTAAGAAGAGCAGAGAAAGAAAATAGTGGCAGCTCCTTTTCTCCAACCTCAGCCAAGTAACACTGCTGTCATGTGAGGGTAGACTTGCTTGGAAGCCTTATGGGTGAGTGGGGGCTGAAGGCAGGTAGCAACATGGTGTGGAGATGATCTTGGAGGCACATTTGTGCTCCACAAGCCTGCTCTCACAATCTGTGCTCAGTGATGAATAGCTTCTTCAAACGTGCAGGGAATTATGAAAACTAAGACTCAGGGACATTGGGAGAAACCTGAAAATAGGGACTTTTCCAGTTTCCTGGAGACTCATGCTCATCCTAAATAGGGCAGAGCTGTGAAAGAATGTAGAGATACAGACATGGGAGTGGGAGATGTAGCATGGGGGGAGGGAGAGAGAGAAATTTATGGGGGAAGATACGTACAAAGAGAGAAGGGATGGCTAAAAAGATAGAGGCATAAACATACACTAAGCGGGAGGGAGACAAGGACAGAGAGACTGGGGAAAAGGAGGGAAAATGTATGAGTGAGGAAGGGAAGGAGGAGTAAGGAAGAGAGAGTGAGAACAGGATGTGGAGGACTTGAGAAAGGAAAGAAATTGGAGCATCTAGGGATGAGGGAGAAAAAGAGCAATTGGAAAAAAAATACTACGAAGGCAAGAGAGAAAGCAATAGTAAAAAAGAAAAGGATGAAGAGGCAGGAAACTAAAAATTGGAGCTGGAAGGAGAAAAAGAGGAGTAAGGAAAAGGGAAGAGAAAGAACAAGCAAGAGCTCACACAACTTTAAGTTTAGAAAATGTTTATTTTGTTTACTGTAATTCTTCCCCTGGCAAAAAAGGAATTGTGGACTTTAAGTCCTATTGGGAATGCAAGGAAGCTGTGGCTGTGACTCTGTGTGTGTGTGTGTGTGTGTGAGTGTGTGTGTGTGTGTGTGTGTGCACGCACAAGCACACATGGCTAGGTGTGTGGCCAAACCACCTCTTTCTTCTTCAGTCTGAACACTGGTAGCAAGCATAGGAGAAATTGTCAAACAATATTGTTCAAACACACTGTGTCCTTAAGAGTCTCTAAGAGGCAGAATCCAAAGTGTGTCCAAAGACAGATAAGATAGCTCAGTGAGAGATAATACAATGAGATAGACTCACTTTGCAAACTTTGGAACCTGAGCCAGATTTG